GGCGGCGAAAGAGGAGAGGCAGGCAGCCGCATTCAGGAAGTTCTAGTCAGTTACACTTACTCCGGCAGGCTCTCAATCTACCTTTCCTCTCTACTGCCCGGAGGAGGGGGGTGTGCAGGAGAGGGTAGGGGTTAGCGGGGGTGTGCTGAACCCTCCCTCCTGTTGCAGAGAGGCAAAGCCTGCAAGGGGCAGAACCAGAGAGTGGGCAAGAAGCAGACAGCCGCGTTCCGGAAGTTCTAGTCAATTACACCCCTGCTGTTCTGGCTTATAAAAAGGCTTGGTGGAATGCACTCTATGTTTTATAACTTTGTGTAATGTTTTAAGCTTTCCATCTTTTTATAATTTTCACAGTCATTGGGAAATTATGGAGAGAGGTCCAATAATTTTTTAATGATGAAGTGGAGATGCAAAGAGTTCAACCTTTAAAGCTGTTAAAACCCAAACAGAGAGACAAGGTGGGTAAAGTAATATCTTTTTCTTAAATAATTTTGGAACAGTTTTGGTTGGTGAGATATCAGCCCTTTTGAGCTTCACAGACCTGGAGAAGGGCTCTGAGGTTGTCTCTATCATCAACCATGTTTGATCCAATTAAAGATATTACTTCACTCACCTTGTGACTCTCATCCAGGCACCAATAGGACTACAACAAAACAGCAAAAACCACCATATCACGTCAAGATATATGTCCAGATATACAAAATAATTATCCTAACACCAGACATGATTTGTTGATTTAACTAATCATTCACTCGTCCATTTGTGACAAGACCAATTCAGAAGTTTATATCATTGAATTTAACTCTAACAAGGGCTCAGGAAGCATTTTTCTTACTTTCCCTATCTGTAAATAATTTAATTATTACTGATGGAAATATTTCAGGATTTCTGTATACTGTGAAATCAGCGAATTTCTACGTTATTTGCAAAGAAACAAACAAAACAAAATAAGCACAAAAACTCAAATCCCTAGAGATTTCAGGTGCCTAACTATCCTCTAGAATTGTTAGGAGTGGCCATCCCAGCTCCACCACATCTGAACTGGCACCCCTGGTGAGTCAGGAGTGGCCAGAGGGCTGCAGGAGGGCCACATGCACAAGATGCAGCCCCCACCTGACATCAGGGAGCTCTCCATGAGCTGCAGACCAAACACCAGACATAAAGGGCAGGTGCTGTGCAGCAAGGACGCTTGCAGTGCTTCTTCAGAGCAGCTCAAACTGTCAAGGAAGAACCCACTTACAAGGGGGCCCGCGACCAACTTATGGGGGGAGGGGTCGCAGCTGCTGGCTTCCCCAGGGTCCTTCGACGCTTGCAGTGCTTCTTCAGAGCAGCTCAAACTGTCAAGGAAGAACCCACTTACAAGGGGGCCCGCGACCAACTTATGGGGGGAGGGGTCGCAGCTGCTGGCTTCCCCAGGGTCCTTCGTGCCACTTCCAGGAATTCTGGGGATTCTGCCACTTCCGGGGATCCCACAGCTGTGTAGAGGGGGTGTCAGCCCCGGAGGAGGAACGCGGCACAGTAACTGCAGGAGGGGTGAGTAAAGCGTTTTTTTTTTTTTTTCTTTGCTTAACAGCTTTCTTTGGCTCCCCCCCCCCTTTTTTTTTTTGCTTAACAACTTGGGGGTGGCATGTCACACAAATAAAATGAGCATTTTAGGGGGTCTCAGTATCAAAAAGTTTGAGAACCCCTGCCCTAAAGCAGTGTTTCTTAAACTTTTTAAGACCGAGGAACACCAAACAATCATTAGGAACACCAAGTATTTTTTGTTGAACAAAAAAAAAAAAAAAACAAAAACAAAAACAAAAAGGGTCAGGGGGAAAGTTATTAAGACAAAAAAAGGTCGCCTGCTCCTTTAAATGCAGCCATTTCGAACTCTGTTGTTCTTCACGGTAAACCTCCGACTGCTTCGCGGCACACCAGTGTGCAGCAGAACACAATTTAAGAAACACTGGCCTACAGGCTTTCCACAGGGCAAATGCAGCCTGTAGACCCAATTCCTCTCAAATGTCCCTCTACCAGCGTACCTACAGCCTTCTGGCCTTGTTCCAAACACAGTCCCTTCTAGCAGGGTATATATGGCCCTGCGGGCCTAGTCCTGAAGTATAGTTCCCTCTCAGAGGGAATATGGCCTCACAGGCCTAGTCCCAAAGTACAACTCCCTCTATTAGGGTAAATACAACCTCACAGGCCTAGTCCCAAAGTACAGTTCCCTCTAGCAGGGTATATACGGCCCTGCAGGCCTACTTCCAAACACAGTTCCCCCTATGAGTGTAAATACGGCTCTGCAGGCCTAATCTCACACACACTCCCTTCTCTCAGGGTCACAATGGCCTAGAGGCCTAGTCCAAAGGTAAACCTCCCAGAATGTTAGGGAGCTGGATTGTTGTGGGGTGCGAAGGCAGGGGGTCCCAGTCCAGGGCTCCGTTGGCAGTGGAGGATTTCACTGCCTGCTCAGCGGTGATGTCTGCATAAGCAACAATCCTCCACTCTGGGCTACTTCCTACCATTCCCAGTGTTCTGTGCTGTCCTCAGGGTGTTGCTCGTGGAGTCGTAGTCTCCTGGATGGCTTCACTGATCAGCTGTGCAGCAGCTTCCCCTTTGAAACTACCATCTCTGTGCCTTTCAAAGGGGCAGCTGTGGAGCCCGGGGTCAGCTGGGGACTCCCCAAGTGACCCCGGACTCCACAGCTGCCCCTTCAAAGGCACACAGGCACCATTTTAAAGGGGCAGCCATCGCACATCTGATCCGCGGATCAGCTGTGCAGCAGCTGCCCCTTTAAAAAGCCGCCTTGGGGTTTCAAAGTGGCAGCACCTCTATGCAGCACTATCACTTTGAAGTACCCTTCTTCCCTCCCCCTCCTTTACTGCCTCTATCTCATAGAGGCAGCAAAGGGAGGGTGGATATCGACTAGATGATTCGTCAAAAATGCTATCCAATAAGCAAAACCTTATTAGACAGTCGACTAGTCTTTTACATCCTTAGTCGGAACAGGAGATAGACCGTATATCCTATATTTCTAAACAGAGTATTTTGAGGCATAATACAAAAAAAATATGAAGGAATAAGAAGCTGAAATAGACACAGTGTTTCTGCAGTGACAGAAAGTAGACAGATGTGGTGATAGGTTTTTCTAGTCTGGTTTTTTTTTTTTAAAGTGTTATATGTGGAATTGTTGTTTATGGAACAAATATATGATCCCAAAGACCTATGTAGATAGTCCTTATAGGTAGAGTCCTGGAAATAAGCCGATATCCTCTTTATACCCACAGGTATCTGCATCTGCAGTTGTCAATGGTTATATCCACAGCTCATTTATAGCTACAGATGTGGATACCAAGTCTGTATCTGCACAAGGCTCTACATACATGACTCAAAGAGCAGAAACTCTACTCACAACAAGACTAGGCAGTGCACAAATGTCCTGACAATTCTGCCAATGCAACACCACTCAAGCTTCCAACACCGGGAAAACAGGATTTGAATACAAAACTCTTCATTGTGTATGGATGATGCATTACTTATCACTTAAGCCGTGACACTCCACTGTAACTTTTTCAGGCAGCTATGGGAGAGAATCAGAAACAACATGCCCCCTTCAACAAGAATGAAGGGTTCTTACCTTGTTGTAGAACTCTTGTTCTCTGGGACCCCGAGGCGGAGGCTGCAATTGCTTCAAGACTGTGCCATCTGGATGCTGCAATATACCTAGAAAAACAAACATATCATTTATTGTTTAAGTTTAAAGAATGCAACCATTCTGTCCTTTAAAACTAGTAGGGTTGCCAGGTGTCTGGTATTGAACTGGACAGTTCGGTATTTTCGCCTCCTGTCTGGTAAAAAAAATTCAGAAAATACCGGACACCTAAAATGTCCGATACCTTCTGATTTTTTCCTGGCCAGGAGGCGAAAATCCCAGGCTGTCCGGCTCATTATGGAGGCAGCCTGGTAACCTAGTGCTTTACGGCCCCGCGCAGGGCGGGCGGCCGCCGGCAGCCTGTTAGGGCCAAAAAGCCTCACCATGTGTTTCTTAAAGGTGCCACGCAGTGTTGGGTTTTGTTTATTTTGGGATAGGGGGCATAACTCTTGGGGTCCTTTTTTTTTGGTTCGGTATTTTTTCTGAAACTATCTGGCAACCCTAAAAGCTAGTAAATATCACACACACAAAAAAGTAGCCCAACTTCTCAGTGTAAAACTACTCCTCCCATTCTTTACACAGAACAGTGGAAGCTAGCAAACGCAGCCCAAATCACCAAACTCTTATTAGGGCAGGGGTGGCCATCCCCCGGCTCTTTACCGCAGTAAGTGCAGCTCGTGTAACGTACTCCATGGCCCGCAAAGCCGCCCCTGAAAAAGGGCCCCCTGGTTCCCTGGTCTCACCGAGTGCAGGGGAGCCATCTGGTGCAGCAAAGCAAGATGGCGCCAGCTGACAGGAGCCTGATGTGGCCAAAAAGCCAAACTGGAATTTCATTTAAAGGGGCAGGGTCCTTTTTTTGTTTGTTTGACAACTTTTTTCCCCTCAGCTCTTTGCGTTATGTCCACCACTATCTTGGCTCTTTGCCTGTTACGGGTTGGCCACCCCTGTAGTAGGGGTTAAGGAAAAGGAGAAGACATGATCTTGTAGAAAGTATGTTACGTTAGAAAATTATTTTTAGGAGGGAAAAAAATCTTAACTTTACACAAATAAAGAGGGAAGTCTTCCATAACTCCCCATGCAAGTGAGTTTATGGTACTATGCCAGAAGGAAAAGGGCAGAAAGTAGAAGCTTGATAAAAAGTGTTTGGAAGACAAGGGTAAAATTGAGGTTGCAATGCACTAATATGGTGACCCCATTTCATTTCTAGTGATGTTTTATTAAGCATATTGTGGGTGTAGCAGCCTTAATTGATACACTATGCAGTGTTTGGGCATTAATCTTAAAAACTGTTCATTAGAAAATAACTTTTAATGGCATGCTGTGAGTACTGGTCCCTTTGTAGACAAAATATTTCTGAAATTAATCTCAGAAACAAAACGAGTTTTATCGCTCCTGTGAATTTCACAGGATCCTACTGATCCTGTAATTGTTCTGCACAGGAGAATGTGAATATAATGATTAGTATGTATTTGAATATGGCCAGATTGCTTCCTTTATGGAAGTATTCAAGAATGTGTGTGTTTCACTATCAATAAAGTTTTCACTAAAGGCATTCTAACTTGTACAATATTTTTTACCTCATCCTGACACTACCAAGTATATGAGCTAAAAGTACCTTAAAAATTCCTTTACATTACAAACTAAAGCAGAAACTAGACTCAATTATAGGCCATTTTGATAACCAGAGCTTGACAATTAATGTAATCTACTCGCCCGTGTCGAGTAGATTTTAGCCCGGCACGGCCGCGCAGCGCAGTTAGCATATGCGCAGCGTACAGTTCCACGCGGCTGGCGAGCGGGGCTTGCCGCCGCTTGGTAAGCCCTGTTGATAACCATATAGGACTAATAAGATGATTTCTATACATTTGCTAATCAAAAATAGTTTTTAAACATATGAAGTGATCTTTTTATGGCAAATATTGTACAAAGTGGACCAAGCGAGGTGTCTATCAATTCTGGTAAACTGCTCATATGCATGTATCATTTTTGTATTTGAAGTTAGGAATAATGGTCACATATTTGTATTTCAAATATTTGCTTCTAGGAGACATCAACAGGCTTGGCCAACCTATTGCTAGTTTGCTAGTCACATGAATATCAGTACGTCCCTCACAATTCACCTCAGGTGGTGCCAATACCCACCTGATGAGCTTTACTGTGAACCTACAGACCAGCATGTGATGCCTGCTGCCTAAAAAGGACTGAATCATACATGGACAGGTGACTTGCTCATGTGACAAGCTCCATCTTGGCACATACATTCACACAAGAAAATCAACAGAATTCTCTCCACCTGGGCAAGGGTATAAAGCAGGCCCTGAGGGCTCCTCCATTTTGTCTTCAATTCTGTCTTCATTCCAGCTGACCACCTATGAAGGATCTTCTATGAACTAAAGCCTGAAAGACTGATGCCCCATCCTAAAAAAGAATGCATTCCAGAGACTTGTTTTAAAGACAGATTATTCCATCTGTGCTACAAGCCTGCACAAAGAACTTGTGTATGTATTGGATTCCTTTAATGTTAACTCTCATCCCATCCTTCTTTCTTTTAAAATAAATCTTTAGATTTTAGAATCTAAAGGATTGGCACAGCAAGCTCTTTTGGGTATGATCTGAGGTGTAAATTGACCTGGGAATGTGGCTGGTCATTTGGGATCAGAAGAACATGTTTGGATTTGGTGAGGTTGGTTTTCATAACCTCTTATCTGTAGAAAGAGTGGTACCAATGGTGGCACAGAAGAACTGAACTGCCTAAGGAGATAGCTTGTATGACTTCTTGCTAGCCGGTGTGGGGAACAGACCCTCTCAGCAGGGCTCCAAGTACTCCCACCCCAGCCCCACCCCCACTTCACCCTCCACATTACAATAGGACAAATAGGAAGGCTCCGAGATATTTTCAACAGTCTCAAGGGTAACTCTGTGACTAAACCCATCACTACCCCGAAAAACAGCTCCTTCTTTACCATTGCCCATACAGATCTCCTTGGTTTTCTGACATGCACTGTTGGATGGAAAATGATAGGCAGAAACTCGAGTGGAGAGGGCAGAAAACAAAGGCTGATTCAGACAGAGTTAAACAAAAATTCCTTGAAGCCTATGCTGAGACTGATTACAAGCCAAGGGAACCTTCCTATTAGCCTCCTCTGAGGTTGCCATATCCTACCACAAGAAGCTATTCACCATGGTAAATTATTTAATTCTGTGGGCTTATCTATACTAACTCAGTTATGCTAGTAACTGAAGCCAACATAAGTTACACTGACTTACAATAGCGTCTACATCACTCTAGATTGACTGGAGATGCTCTCCCATAAACAAAGCTTCTGCCTCTCCGCAATGTGGAATACACTGGTGGAAGAACACTCTGCCATTGACTTAGTGTGTTTCCACACTCTGACTTATCTCCTTTCTTAAAGATTGTAAGGAGGCCCCCGACTTGCGATGCTTCCCTGGGAACCAATCATGTTGCAAGTTGGGGGCATTGTAATTCGAACCCTCATTTACGATAGGCGCCGTGCACCTGTCGTAAATGTGAGATGAGGACGTTAAGTCGGGGGTTTCAGCCCCTCCCACACTTACAAAAATGGTTTTAAGTGCAGGGAAATCAGAACTTGGGTGGTCGCAAGTCTGGGGCCTCTCGTAATCATGTCAGTGTTTCTCAAGTGTTCTGGAATCTTCTCATAATACCAGATATGAAGTAAAAACTTGTGCAACTCCTTTACTAGTTCTTCACCTCCAAACTTGTTGATTTTGGCTGGTAAGCCCTCTGGCCCCAATGCCTAGTTGTTCTTGGTTTGCAGAATGGCTCATGTTGCTTTTTCAAGGGTATGGGGCTCAGCAACAGATTCACATCTATACCTCAACAACATGAAAGAGATAGTGGCATCAGAGACAATTGACTCACAGTTCAGGAGCAACTCAAAATGCTCCTTTTATGTGACTTTGATGGCTTTATTGTCCATAAAACATGTTAACCCATTTTGGGCTCAGAGTAGAGTAGGTTCCTGGCAGAGTGTATCATAAATGAAAAAAGCTCATGTCATGTTTATCAGCACGTGGCAAAACATATCACACCAGCAGAAGAAAGAGTCATACAAACAACTCAAGCCTAAAGCTCAAAGAAAAATCTGTCATAAAAAATATGTGGTAGCAAGAAAAGGTTGAAGTGACCGAGCTTTATTGCTGCTGCTATGCCACTGTCACACTTTAGTGCAGTCCAGGGCTGGCTATAATTTTTGATGGGAGGGTACTTCCAAAAATTTGGTAAGCATCCATGATATTAGTGGAAGAGGTGCACGATCTGGGAGCAGAAAAGAGTTTGGTAAAGGATTGGTGTGCAGAGTCTGGAAGGGGGTTTGGGTGAATGAGGGGCTGTGACTTAGGGAAGGAGATTGGGGTACAGGAGGGAGTGCACCAGGGGCGGACTGGCCAGGCGGGATACCAGGAATTTCCTGGTGGGCCATCCTCCGAAGGACTGGCTGGCAATAACTGGAAGAGGAGGGGGATTGTGACGGGGCGCCGCAGCCCTGCACTTTAAATTCCCCAGCGCCGGCTATGTACGGGGCATGGTGTGGCCAAGAGAGTGCCTGTGTGGCATGCTCAAACACCACGCAACAGCTGAAAGGGGAGACACTCGGGCGTGGCATGATGTCACAGCCCAAGACTTTAAAACCGCCTGGCCCAGAGTGTATCACGTGGCCCAGCTCCAGGCCCGGCACATGGTCTGGAGCCCTGGAAGCAGCTGGGGCCACGGCTGCAGGACTTCTGGGGCCCAATCACAGACTCCAACCCCGCAAACTGGAAGGCAGAAGGTGGGGGAGGGGAAGAGAGGGGAAAAAATAGGGGAAGAGGTGGGAGAGGAAGGGACTTGTACTGAGGGGGAGGAGGACAGGTCAGGAGAAGAAAGGGGAAGGCACCAAGGGACAGGGTAGAGGAGAGACAAATGCCAGGGGGCAAAGTGGAGACAATGAGGAAAAGTGGGAAGGGGGACAAGGTGATGCGAGGAGAGGAGAGGGTAAGGGCATTGGGGGCTAGAGGGGGAGGAAGAGGTGGTGCTAGCAGAAGCCTTGAAAGAAGGGATGGGCATGAGGAAGGCAGGGATGGAGCAAGTCATATGTGAGGGCACAGGGGCATGAAGGGAATGGGGGCAGAGGATGGTGAAGGGGTGGGCATCAGGGAAAAAGAAGGCAAAGGGGGCAGGGGTAGTGAGGGAAGTGGGAGGCACCAGGAAGGTACAAGGGTAATGGAAGGTGAACGTGCCAGGGGATTCTGGGGGTGAAGCAGAAGAGCAGACAACTGCAGGGGAGGGACCAGCACCAGAGGAGAGAGGCAGGGCAGGTTTGTAGAGGGAGGTATTAGAAGAGGGGATGAGGAGGGGTAGCTCACATGATCAGAGTGGGGCTACTGGAGGAGTGGGCACAAGGGGGAGAGAAGGGCTGGTGGAGGGGGGCAGGTCTCAGGAGTGCTGAGGGTAATGAGAAGGGCAGGAGTCAGGACAGCAGAGCAGGGTGAGGAGTTGGGGGGCAGCAGGCATCAGGGGAGCTGCTGGAGCAAGGGGAGGAGACATGGCAGCAGAGGTTTATAAGATATTTTTCAATAACTTGGGTGCCACAGTGGCACATCCAAACAAGCCATATGCACAACACAAAATTCATTCTGCTCATGGGAGGAAATTCTTAGGCTGCGTCTACACTGGCGGCTTCTTGCTCAAGCTCTTTGTGCAAAAAAAATCTTACACAAGAACATGTCTATGCTGCCATGTGCTTTTGTGCAAGAGCATCCATGGCAGCGTGGTTGCCCTCTTGCGCAAGAAAGCTCTGATGGCCATTTTAACCACAAGGGCTTCTTGCGCAAGAAATTCATGTTGCCTGTTTACACTACCCTCTTGTGGAAGAACTCTTGCACAAGAAGGCTTATTCCTCTTGGAGAGAGAAATAACTCTTCAGGAAGAAGCCCTGTTTTACAACACTATACTGTAAATTTATTTGCACAAGAACACTCGTGCAGTGTAGACATTAGGCAGGTTTTTGCGAAAGAATGACTGTTCCTGTGCAAGAAGCTGCGAGTGTAGACATAGCCTTAGAGGAAACACTTCCCCCAGCCTCTCCACCCCTTCCGCCCCCGAGTTAATGTCACAAACATTGGGTTAATGCAATTGCAGAATAGTTGCATGAGGGGAGCTTGGTGGGGGCCAAACTAATCCGTATTGGTAGGAGGATGGTGGGAAAAGTCCTTAGAGAGGGGTCACATGACACCTTTTACTTCTGGTCATGTGTCCATCTTGCCCCGAGAGTGTTACCTTCAGAGGCCTGGCTAATGGGAGTCAGGGGGTGTGGCTAATAGGGGTCAAAGAGTAAATTTAAAAAAAAATTCTTTGATGTGAAAAAGTGGGCCGTTCTCAACCCATTTCCCAGGCTTATTTTGATTGCCAGTCCGCCCCTGGAGTTCAGGGACTGGGAGCCAGCATAGGTACAAGAAACAATTCTGACTTAGAGGAGGGCATAGGATGGGGTGCAGGGTCTGAGAGTGTTTGTGACCAGAGGTGCAGGGACATTAAATAGAATACGGAACATCCGTTCTTAGCCTCCTGGACCATTTCACACTGGTGATCATGAGATACTGTGGTCTCACCCGAGACAAGGCACCAGGGTAATGAAATATAATGGACGGGGAGATAAAGTGGATGAGATTTGAGTCCCTCCAGTAGGGATACACCCAAAACAGTAATGATGGGAAATACTAGTCCCCCCTCTAAGGATGTAAAATCCCAGTTAATTAACTCAGGGGTCAGCAACCTACAACATACGTGAACCAGCTCTGGCTTCCTGCTGGAAGAGCAGAGGAGTTGGGGGAGGCATGGACACAAAAGGGCTGGGGCAGCCTGGCAAGCAGAGTGGGTGGCATGTACCTGCACTGGGCTCTGTGTCCCTGGGGCTGCTCCTGCCCAGCCTGAGTGTGCAGCTCCCAAGGGCTAAGGGGGTTAACACTCCCCCTCACTACAGGCTCTGCTCCGGGAGAGGGTATGGCTGGAGCTGCTCTGCAGATCCAGGGCAGGGAGGCTGCCCACAAGCTGCTGCCACCTCCGTATGGTGCCGGCATCTAGGCTGCACCGCACCGCTCCCCAGAGGGTGTGTACAGGCTTGGGAGCCCCTTCCCCAGGACTCCACTGCACCAAAATCAGCCCTGGGCTCTGTCCACCCCAACCCAGAGCAGCAGCCTACAGATGACAAAGGGCTGGGTAGGGAATTGATTCTATCCCTTCCCCGGACCCTCTTCACCCCAGCACTGTCTGAGTCCCAGCACTGCTGCCCTGCTAGTGTACACACTGGGGGAACAGGGATGTGGTTGTAGGGGGAAGGGAGGTATAAAGGAGGATATGCGGGGCAGAATAGGAGGGGGCAGGGGTTGCACTGAGGGGGGATGGGGCAATGCAGGGGATCAGATCACGGGGCTGAGGGGAGCAAAGCTAGAGCAGAGGGAAGATGGGGGGGTGGAGAATA